TGCTGCTTCCACCAAAATGATCATAATAGGCCATTTCTTTTTCCCTGGAATTCTCATAAAATAGTTGTGTTTATCCTGTCACTTTCAGTGTTAAGACTGTTGTCTTAAATTTTTTTCAATTTTAATTTTTTCATGTGCTAATACATTTCAGCCAGGTTAAATATCTTTCAAAGTGGACAGATGAGTCTTGTTTCTAAACACGTGGGATATTAACTCTTTGCATCCATATTTTTTTAAGCCCTTGTGTATCAAGAGACCTTCCTGTGACACTCGTATCATCTAGCGTATGACCACAGCTCTTTGTGAAATTAAATTACTATTACAATTTTCATCACTGACATTAAAACTGCTACAAACTAAACATGTGTAGTTATTTCACTGAGTATATTGAATCATATATCCTACTTGAGAAGATACATGAATATCTATAATGAAGGATATGGATGGAAGGAAGGAAGGAAGGTACGAAGTTAGGAAGATACTTTATTCAAAGACTACTACTTCTTGATTTTTCCTGACTCTCCAAGGAAATTTAATTCATGTTTTGTGATTTAAGTAGATATGAACACATGAAAGAAAGCATACATAATTAAATAAATTATTGAATGTATGTTATATCACACTGCTTTATTTGGCAGAGAATGAGGAAGATTAGTATTTTCTACTGTATTCCATGGCATAGTAATTTTACAGGGGGTTAATGGATCTTGCTGGAAAAAAGAGGAAAAGGGCTCTTTAAAGGACAGGAAGATCATGCAGAGACGTGCTGAGCTGGGGAAGAAAGACTGGCCTTTGCAAGCTGTTGACCACAACCTAAAACATGAATGATCCTCGCTCAGCGCCATTTTGTGGCAGCGAGGCCTGTAAATAAAGGGGAGAGCCGAGGCTGTGGCGGGAGGAGGAGCGCGGGGGCCGGCAGGCAGCGGGGTCGGGCGGCCTGGGCAGCGAGCGGGTAGCGCGGGGTCAGCCTCTGTGACTGGCCGGCGCCAGCGCGGCCTCTGTCAGGAGAGGATTCAAGATGACCAACGAGGAACCTCTTCCTAAAAAGGTTCGACTGCGTGAAACAGACTTCAAAGTTATGGCACGACATGAATTAATTCTCAGGTGGAAACAATATGAAGCATACGTGCAAGCTTTGGAGGGCAAGTACACAGATCTTAACTCCAATGATGTAACTGGCTTAAGGGAATCTGAAGAAGAACTGAAGCAGCAACAGGAACAGTCTGCACGCAGGGAAAACATTCTTGTAATGCGACTAGCAACCAAGGAGCAAAAGATGCCAGAGTGTACTACTCAACTCCAGTACCTCAAGCAAGTCCAGCAGCCTAGCGTTGCCCAACTGAGGTCAACAATGGTAGACCCAGCGATCAACTTGTTTTCCCTAAAAATAAAAAGTGAACTGGAACAGACTAAAGACAAACTGGAACAAGCCCCAAATGAACTGAGTGCCTGGAAGTTTACGCCTGATAGGTAAACAAATCATACTCCCCAGTCAAGACTTCCCTGACAGTCTCACTACGAGAAAGCTGTGGTGGGACAGCCAAGTACTCGTTTCCACACCAAGGCTCAGACTTTTTGAGCCCAAAAGCCACATTCTTATACTATCCAGCTTGTAATGGTTAATGTAAAACTTACCAGATGAACCTTGTGTTTCAGCCTTTTTCTCTTCCCTCTCCCCTTGCTTCAGAGGCCTGATGGCGTCGGACTATTCCGAAGAAGTGGCCACCTCCGAAAAATTCCCCTTCTAGAACGTGTAGACGCTTGAGAAGTGTTTCTGTTTGAAGAAAATAGAGGGAGAAACAGAAGTCTTAAGTCTGTGGCACACTGTGTCTTCAGACAATTTGGAGGAATGAAAACCTAGAGATTTAAAATCATGAATTGAACATGTAAAATTCCAGTAAATGTAAAGATGGAATATGCATCGCTCTTAACCTTGAGCATAGTGACTTAGAGACACTGTATATCAGTTTTGCCAATAAGACCGTGGACTTCGTGATTGTTGTTGAACTTCTGGGTCAAACTCAAATGAGGTGAATTTTGCCTTTAAAGGGTTTATTTGCTAAGAACCAACTTAATAGTCATGAGAGAATCAAATAATACATATCAGTACAAGTAGCTCCTATATTTAACCATTTAGTTTGGGGCTCCATATTACTTGATTGAGCCTTAAATAAATGTGGTTTTACTCAATGGTTTGTTCTTTGAATGGTTGCTAATACTACAGATAATCTTATTGAGGACTGTACAAATAATGAAGGTGTGGTATCAAACTTCAGGTCTAAACTGTTTGAAGCATTATAAACATTCATTTCACAACTAGATTGTATAAGGATATTAGCTGTGATGAGACTCACTGCATTATTTTTTTCAGTAGTGCAATTTATTAAATCCCCATTCCATTCAACAGGCAAAAAAAATAATAATAAAAAATAAAAATAAAATATGAATGAAAACAATAAGAAAAAAAGAGTTTTCACCTATTATGACAAGAGTCAAAAAGAACGATACTATTCAGAATTGCATGAGGGGGAAGTGATTCGAAGAAATAATTAGTGAATTACATAAAAAACAATGGGCCTTAATGTTTACCACTGCATTTTTATAATAATGTATTTTATAATACAGCAAGTTAAGAAATGACCTAACATTAAATACTTGAATGCCAGTTCCATACATTGTGATACGTTAAAATGGAAAAACATGAAGGTGATAAAAAGATTATGGAAGAATAGGCATTATAGAATACATTATTAAATGTGAAAAAGTATATTACAGTATTAAATATATGACTATTTTAGGAATATATTAATAAGTTGAGAAAGAGAAGGATAAAATACTAACAGTATTATTTCTGGATGGACAAATGGCTTACTAATACTAATGACTCTATTCTCACCTCCTCAAATGACTTTTCTTTCTTTTTTTTTTTTTTTTTTTTTTTTTTTGCTGGGAAGTGTCTGGAATAGAGAGGTGTTCCCTTATTATAGTTAATGATGAGCTTCCATAGGTTTTTCCAGCAGGAGAGGAAATTTATAAGGACTGCTGCAAATTCAACCTTCAAAATCAGCTTCTAAACTATTTGTGGAAGGGTTCACTCAGGCATGCAATTCCCCATGGCAGGTCTAATTGTCCATTTGCATGCACAATTTAGAAAGGCACAGTTGAAATTTAGTCCCAGGCTCTCCAACACTAATGTTCTCCCTTGAAATTGACATTTCAAAGAACATCAGGTAGCTAAAACCCCAGATTTGTTATTTATTTCAACAGGAAGGGAAATTTTTTTCTTTCCAAGTTGAAGGATTGGTTTAAAAAAATTAAATTAAAAGATGAAAGGGAAAAGACAAGCATACAAAGGAATGTGCCCTCCCTCCACCCACGCTACCAAGAACAGACTCTTGTTTGCCTTGAAAGGAGTTATAATGTGATCAGTTATCCGATTAGCAAGACTTGTCCTTCTTCATAGAGGGGAAACCATATCTGACCATCTTATAGTTGTATATCTCCATGTATAAATACTTCTATCTTCCTCTGTAAAAGTGGGGGTAATAATATGCATTTCATTGAATAGTTTTGAGAATTAGAGCTGATAATACATATAAAAAATTACATAGAAGGCCCTCAATATTAGTCCTCTTCTCGGTTCCCCTGTTTTTATTTCCTTCACCTTCATAGGTAATAATATATAGAATTGATTCATACAAATCTATGACTGAAAGGATTAACAAGTAGTGAAACAGACCCCTCTACTTTGCCAAGTCAGTTTTGTGGCTCTTAATTTTAAAGACTGGAGACAGATGTATTTATGAATTTGCTAGTGAGGCTCACTCACTGTGCTGTTTAAAATAGTAATCAACAGCTGTTATTAATGGGAAAGTAAAACGTGAATCCCTACTAATTGGCAGGGCTTGTGAAAATCTAGCCATCAATCTTTCCTCTACTATAACACATTCAAAACAAACAAGCAAAATGACAACTGTGGAGGCCTTTGGGAGTATAGTGTACATATCACCAGCATCTGACTTCTGGGTGAATCATGAAGCAGCAAGGGGTGGTCTGGCTTGCTGCTTCGGCAGTAAAGCACAGAACAGTTGTGCTGCACTGTGGTTGGCCTGGGCCACATCAGTGCAAAGAATGCGAGTTTCCATGAAGCAGCCTTAGGCACACAAGAGAGAGCTAGAGTAGGATGCTCTTAGACTTGTCTAAGAAGGCCAACCGGAGAGATGAACAAAATTTGGCAGAGAGGACTGTCTGATACAAGTTCCTCTGTCGCTTGGGTCACAGCTCAAGTGCTATAACCTCAATGAGATTCTATCACTGCCATTGCTCAAGTACCCATGTCCCCCCCACCCCACCCCACCTGCCGCATTTCTTCATTGTG